GGGCAAGACTTCATCCTCACACAGTGCTTTTCTCCTGCTTTCATGTTCTCTTTCTGTCCCTCTCTGTGTATTTTGTCTGCTACTTTTGCTAAAGAAAACTTTAAAATATCTATGTTGATATTTCATATTTTTTGTCCTGGTTGTAGAACACTGGACCAACTCTAAACCCTCAGCAGGGTCCTGGAGGGTGAATGGGAGTCCGGTCAACAAGTCAGCATGTGTTTTGTTGACTTGAGAAGAAGGCAAAGAGAAGGCGTTCCACTGTGTACCTCGGGGAGTCATGTGTGAGGTACTCTTGGAGTTCGGGGTACCAAGCCCTTTGATATGGGCTGTTAGGTCCCTGTACAACTGGTGTCAGAGCCTGGACTGCATCGTGGGTAGTAAGTCATTCGACACAGCCAAGGTTGCCCTTTGTCATCGATTCTGTTCATAACTTTTATGGACAGAATTTCTAGGTGAAGCCAAGGTGTTGAGGGGATCCATTTGGTGACTTAGGATCACATATCTGCTTTTTGCGGATGATGTGGTCCTATTGGCTTCATCAGATCATGATCTCCAGCTCTCACTGGAGCGGTTCGCAGCCGAGTGTGAAGCAGTGGGGATGAGGGTCAGTGCCTCCAAATCTGAGACCATGTTCTGGAGCCAGAAAAGGGTAGAGTGCCTCTTCCACGTCAGGAAGGAGGTCCTGCCCCAAGTGGAGGAGTTCCTACCCTCATCTATGGTCACGAGCTTTGGGTAGTGACCGAAAGAATGAGATCATGGATACAAGTGGTCGAAATGAGTTTCCTTTGCAGGGTGTCTGGGCTCTCCCTCAGAGATAGGGTGAGAAGCTCGGTCATCTGGGAGGGACTCAGAGTAGAGCCGCTGCTCCTCCACATCGACAGGAGCTAGTTCAGGTGGCTCGGGCATCTGGTTAGGATGCCTCCTGGACGCCTCCCTGGTGAGACGGAAATATTTATTCAACAAAGACAGAAATACGTGGTCCAAGAATGAAGGTACTCTGTGGAATGATCAGCTGAGTTTTATCGCAACAACAGGAACACAGAGAACAACATCAAACTGTCCCCCTGCTCTCTGCTCCTGCTTCTGAGGCAGTTGAGGCCTCATATATACTGCTTAACACCATTATGTCATCTTAATAAAGCAAGACTTCATCCTAAGGAAATGCTAGGTCAAGGGAAAACACAAAGATAAACACAAGTGATATCTAAGAGTGATTGTTGTTAGTAAACCTTGTTCTGACTTTAATCATTCTATCTGCTGATAAACAGCATGTCATGAAAACCTAGGTCATTAAAGGATGTCATGAATTACTGGCTTAAACCTAAAAGTATTATTTCCATTACAATGGATGGACATTTTTATTTGGCGAATGCTTCTTTGGTGAATGYTGCAGTCCAAACAATGAGTGCTGCTGCAGGATGAAGGTTGACTTTAACAGCAACTCTGCAGGTGAACTTCAGTGTGACAAAGGTTTACAGGATGCTAACATGCACGCACGCACACACACACACACACACACACACACACACACACACACACACACACACACACACACACACACACACACACACACACACTCACAGAGAAAAAACTACATGAGCTGAACAGAAATCGCTCTGTATTTCAGGAAACAGAAAACCCAATTAAAGGTCTATACAAGTCAAAAAGAAAAAAAACTGTATAGGTCTTCTGGACGGGTTCTTCTCTAATGAAACGTTTCGTCTCTCCTCCAAGAGACTTCTTCAGTCTGAGAGTTTCTATACAAGTCAAACAAGGCTTTCTTGACAAACTTTAGTTGAGGTTTAATGAGTTCCCATGATCCTTCCATGATGGACAGAGTTTTCTTTTTGTCTTCATGCTGTAATGGCAGTCAGAAATGCTGATTAACCAGTGAATCAAGCTTCCAGGTGCAGGTGTTTCCTACAGCATTCACACATCCACTGCCCTCAGGTGATTCCCAAGTTGTTAATTGTGAGACTGTACTAGCACCAAGTGGATGGACCTAATTAGAACAGTCACTTTAAAGGAGGTGAATATTTATGGAGTTACTTATTTTACATTCAACATTTGCTGGCAAAGCTCTTATTGTGTTTTCTAAGCATTCAGACAAGATTTATTTGTAACAATAAAATCTAATTCCTGTTATTTCACTAAACATTATGTTTGCTTATTTTATTGTTTGCTAAATCAGTGACCTCTTTTTTAAACAGTATTGTTTTTATATATTGATGCTGTATAAATATCATAGTCTATCATTAATGTTTTATATTCTCTGATGATATTGTAATATTTATTTTTAAAGCATATTAGGAAGTTACCAGATGTGCGAGTAAAACATCTTGAAAATTATGGGGTTAATGTTTTTTTCTGTTTGTTTGTTTTATGTTTCTTCTTTTTTTCTTTAATTTTTTTAGACATTTTAATATTTTCTCCTTTTTTATCTGGTACTCAAATAATAAATGTATTCAAGACACATGTTGCACATTTCTATATTAAATATGCAAATAATGTCAAAATAAATTTGTTAGATTTGTTGCGTTTAAGCTAATCAAACAAGAGTGACACTTCAAGTTGTCATAAACATACAATGAAAAGTCAAACTGTATCCATTAATGGCACACATGTACATTTACAAACAGCGCCCTAACTTCAACTAAATCACCTAAAGCTCTCCCACATGCATCTTTTCCCATCCTGTTGCTTCTTGCTGTGATTTGCTGTGTTACTGATCACTCTTCTCTGAGCAGGGGGAGCTCTTCCTGTG